TCAAGGTGGCGGTGGACGGTTGATGTTATAACTGGGAGGTCCATTTAACGACCATCCCTTATATTAGGTTTTAGCCTCATCAGCAGATGGTCGAGCAATATCACAAATTAGTTAGAATGTAAATTGCCGGATGCCGACTCAGATGTCTAAGTGCCAAATGCTTGTCACGGGGTGTTAAAGTCCTGAATCCGATCCCTAGTAGGGTTGTGGATTAACACTCTTCAAGAGTCCCATACTGAGAGAAAACAGCTATCTAATCTTGTCTGTTTCTAAAGAATTTCTGAACAAATTTCAGTCCATGATTCAAACTAAAATGATAAATTACTATTGAAAATCCGGCTTTTAACATTAGGACGAATATTCCTAGTCTTAGACCTTATTTTATTACTTTATTTAAACATAAAATTTTGTTTTCTCACTTGACCATTTTTCATTTTTACCTCCACTTTGTTTTAACTTGCTTATTTCCCACTGATTTTAAGAAAAATATGCTTATAATGCATAATTTATTGCTTGAATTCAATTTATTCTTTTACATAAAAACCCCATTAGTTATTACACAATGTCATATTAACTAATACCTAATCTATAATGAATACAATCCACAAATTAAAGCAATCTCTACAAAAGTTCATCCAACTTAACCATACTCATTTATTTCCAAACTTCATGTAATCAATATTCGTTTATTTTTGAACTATATCCTAACGTTTTAGAACATTTTAAAACTTAGATTTGATTTAAGTGAAATCATAAATATGGGTCAAGTAGTTTTCTTTCTCATTTCCTGATTTTCAAGGTGTTGTTGCTTAATTACCATTTTCTATTGCTCATATAAAATTTTAATAAATCAGTTTTATACTACTTTGCAAGTAGTTTGAGATTTATGATGATTTTTTATACTGGAGCTTGGACGTAAATGCTGGTAGTCTATGGTGAGTGAATTTCAATTTACAGATGAGTTCCTATTCAGTAAAGGTGCCTGTGATTCATGAGTTAGATTTCGAGATGATTTGTTGACATATCAACGAGTATCAGTATGTGGTTTCATGAAGATTATATAATTTTCATAGTGTAAATCATGAAATGATCTTAGTTAAGGAACCATTGGGAATCAAGAAGCACTGGACAGTTACTATGCCCTAATATGAGATTTCTCAGCACTGAGTATCCACCACACTAGCACAATGAAAGGATTATAGAATCTTTAGCCTTCAGTGCAAATAATTAGCTTTTAAATAACTGAGCCCCTACCTAATGGATAGTGTACGTCTTTAACATCAATCGATTCACGATATTGCACGACTATCCTCTATTGTCTGGGGTGGATGACCATTTCACCCGACGTGGTTGAACTGCACGGGTTATTTTAGTTTTGCAGTTATTGCTGAATATTACTAATTACACATTTTTACTTTATGCAACCAATGACATCTATAATTAAATCATTTGAAAATTGATATTATTAATTGCTATTGTTATAAGATACATGTAAAAAGTCAACTATTTGTGGAGTGATTGCTGTTTTTCTTACAATTAGCTATTATAATCATGATTGCACGAGCTTATATTCACTGTCTAATGTTGTAACAAAAAGGGGGAATTCATTCCTGAGTATACTATTTTGATTTGCACTTCAGTAGCTGGAGGAGCTAAAGAACGCATTCAAGGGAATTCCAAATAACAACATTTACTCACTCCACGACTTGTGGTTCCGATTTTCACAGGAATAAAAACAATAGTAAACAAAAATCATCGCCAGTGAAAATGAGCTAAACGTTGATATCTATCAAGATAACTGATGGATATTAGACTGTCATTTGTTGAAATATGCATCACAACGATGGATTGAATTACTTGCTCAATGAAAAGAATTCATAGATATGCAACTAAATTGATGCAGTAGTTTATTAGATTACTAGATTTGCTGTATAACGTCATAACATCTGTAACCATAAATAAAACCCGTCATTTTGTTACCTTTATGACGACTAGATTTATATGACTCCTCAAGAATTGACATTAGGCTAGTGTCAGTTGGTCAAGTTCTGCAATCTTGTGAATAATACATCTGTACTTGCAATGGAATAAAGTAAACTAAATGTAGAAACAGACTAAATATTGAACACTAGAATACGTCGGATTTATTCGGCAAAATCTGAAAATTGCACTTTTTGAAATCAGTAATCTATTGCTCCAGAAGATTCATGCTTGTTCTGCATGTTTTGCTCAGTATCTCCAACTATTCTTTTTCTCTCTAACTTCTTACTGCTTTTTCCTTGTAGCTAATTGTCAGTCTTTACGATGATGTGAAATATAAGAATTTAAACAGTTACACAATACTAACTTAAACAGGACACCTTTGAGATCCTGGTATCTTGATACAGCCAGAATGAATCTACAACACATCCTACCTTCGATTACATACTAACATATATGACATTTAGAAAGGAAATAAATTACATCTTCACATCTAAATGAAATACTGACAATAAACATCCCCTTATTCTAATCATCATTTAATGAAAACCAAATAACTAGTACATTCGTGAAAAAAAATGATACAAATGTACATGAACTAGTTAGGCGTAATGTACTAAACAAATATTCATGAACATTTCTTTAAACACAAAAGAATAAACATTTAATTTACATAGATATGATGAAAGTAAACATATACTGCTGAATCGATCAGATTTAAGATAATAGTTCTCAGATTTCTGCGCGAAATTCAAAATCTAGTGACCGATAACTTGTACTTAAGATTAAAGGGTAGGGGTATAAACTGGAGATTCTTAAAACAACGATAAGAAAGTGATTAACTTTTCATGGAAAAGAAAACAAGTAAAACGAAAATGTACATAACATTTGATATGATTGATAGATTTTCTAGAGTATTCTAAAAGATGGGTTTTGTGGAGATATTAATCAACATATACTCACTAGTGACTGGCTTCACGAGTTCTAGTGAGTAGTGACTAGTGGAGTTCAACCAGGTCTGTTGTGAGATAGTACCTCACTGAAGACAATGGTGAATGTGTCGCTTAATTTCGTGGATTAGTTGAAGTTAGACATTAACACCGTTGGATGCCGGCCGGCTCAGTGATCTAGTGGTTAAGCGCTCGCGTGCGAAACCAGTAGGTCCTGGGTTCGGATCTCGCAGGAGGCGAGGTCGTAGATGCGCACTGCTGAGGAGTCCCACAATAGGACGAAACGGCCGTCCAGTGCTTCCAGGTTTTCCACGGTGGTCTAGCTTCAACTGACTCATGATCTGAACCATTGATATTTTAAAAGATTTCGAGATTTGAATTTAAGACGTTATCTACATTAGTGTTTATGATTATATATGGTTATATAACATTTACTAGTACTCTAATCCTAACACATTTCCTTTATTGCAATAAATAATTAAGTATGAAAGAGTTCATCAATCATGTCAATACTATTTATCTACTCTCATTTTATAATTCTTTTTTTTGCTTTCTTAATTATTTCATAACTAAAACACTATTTACTGATTAGTTGAAAAACTATTCAAATCATCAAACTGCATCACGAGGCAAACCCTAACTTTGAATCCTGAAGGGAAGCAGAAAAGTGGAAGGCCAAAGAACACATTGCGTCGGGAAATAGAATCAGATATGAAAAGTGTGAATAACAACTGGAAAGAGCTGGGAAGGATTGCCCAAGACAGAGTTGGATGGAGAATGCTGGTGAGTGGCCTATGCTCCTTCACGAGGAGTAACAGGCGTAAGTAAGTGAAGAGTTATTTAACTTTATTTATCAGTTTAGTTTACTTCTACGTCCGAAAACTAATAACAAGTAGATGTTTATAACTTTGAATTAAATCAATTTCAAGATTTTAAAAGTCTGAAACTACTGCTATTTTAAAATCTGAAATATTTTGACTTCAGTCAAGTTTTATAATATAGTTTAACTAGTTAACCCTACAATATCACATATCATATGAAGATAATAAAAAGTGAATTTCTGATAATATACACTCAACCAAACATACTGCATAACTCGATGAAAGGACATCAACTCTTTCATGACTGTAAATACCTTGTTATTAACGAAAGCCGAATAGCATGAAACTTAGATTTAGTCTCTTCTGTTTACCTTCGAATTAGGATGTAGCGGATGCCCAAAGGTAGAACCACATAACTAGTATATTTAGTGTACCTAAGTAACAGACGAAAATGACATATTTTTACTAACATACACACATGTGTTATACCGCTTATTTACTGAACCAGGAGAATTGTCACCAAAAAAAATACGAATAATTCCAATACTTGTTCAATAGAAATAAATCATGGTTTTATTGACTGTTGTTACTGACATTATTTTGTTTTTATATGTTCACTTTTTTTAGAAAAAAAAAGATAATTTCTACAGAGTAACAGGAAAATCCAAAAAAGGATATGGAGAAACTAGAGGGAAAATGAAATCAGTTAGTCAGATATAGACAACACAAGATCTGGTTATGTATACACACATCTATATCTGTTCAAATTGTCACATCTCTAGTCCGTAAAAAACAAAACAATGTGATATAGAAAGAGGAAATTAACGAAAATGAGAGGCGCGTTAAACATTTAGTTCAAAATGAATGGATAATACAATGAGTGAAGTGGTAGTGCACAATAAATAAATTAATAATAGTAATAATAATACATGGAATTACAAAGTGTGTATACAATGAACATGAAAATAATCATAGTATAATTCAAGACAAAATATAATAATTCAGTGGGAAAAATATGAATAAAAGCTTATTCATAGACAAGGCCCTGTTTGTTGATCATTAAAATAAGTGGAATATAAACAAGTCAAAATGTTATGTGGGAAAACTAGGGATTATACATGATCAATACAATTGGTTATCGATGAGAAAAAAAAGAAAACAGCTATACACATTAAACCATAACCGGAGAAAATCTATGTATTACATAAATTTGAAAGAAACAAGCTCGTATTATTGTTATTATTATTGTCTATTTTTCTTCTTCTGTTTTTTCTTCTATTTGTTCATCAAATTCAACAGTAGTATATTCTTCTAAAAGACCTGCTTGTTCATAATACTTCATTGCTATACGTCCTTCATGAGCTTCACTAGCACCTTCAGCGGCTGATTCGAAGAGTTCGTCTACAATTTTGTTTATTTTTTCATAAAGAAAATTATCAGTATACAGTATAAATAAATGAAGGTATATCAAGGGGCGCTGAAACATTTAAATCAATACAATTTGTGAAAAATTCGTACAAAAACGAAAAGATGCTAACAATAATCACATATAGTTTATTATCAAGTGAATGTTGAAGGCGTTATGCTTTACGAGTAAGGAAAACGGTTAATTGAATCGTATCTTCATCAATAATTAGTTTATGCAATGCATGTATAATTTTGACAGTAAAAATCAGTAAACGGATGATCCCATCCTATTATTATTATTAATTACATAAAGAATATCATCAAGACTACAAAAAGATTATCTAGGTTACTAGCAAGTGTAGATCACAACCCCCCCAAATCAATACTATGCACGCAAATAGGACATAAAGAAAAGAGAATATAAGCCAATACAATTTAATCATTCCAGTCAGAGTATAATATCTAACTAAATCTTCATCTTGAGCTACAAATATTCTGTATTATCTTATAAGATGGATGCATATGAATATTCGTTTGAATTCATGAATTAAACGTAAAATGATAGTTGGCTGTTTACAAGTAGCAGTAGCACCGAGTTCATCCAACGTATTTATTATCTTATGATTGGTAAATATCAAATGTAATACAAAAAAAGTTAATGATTGGTTAATTGGGAAAAAATAGAAGGAAGTAAAATATTGGAAGTGTTGTGATCAGCTTAGAGACCACAACACATCCAACATACTCACTTTAAACTATTAATGTTCTTTATCATCTCTAAACAGTAAAATAACATATTAAGCCTAGTAAATCAAAGCTTTTCGGAAACTCTGAACTACTCAGTACTTGGTGACGTTGTCTAGTGTGAAAGTAAACTGGAAGATAGAGGAGGTCAAACCGAAGAAGACACTGACAATTGGACCATATCATTCTAACAAGTATATACTACCTGGTTGGGGTCCGCATGATTACCATAATCAATGGTTCGAGACTGAATACCATGGTTCAAAATAACTTGCGATGACACAGGTGCATCCATTATTTGTTTTCATATAGATTATAAGCTTCCGAATTCCCCATAACATCTTTCATTTCACTTATTTATATTTTCCAGAATTGTATATTTGATCCTCAATCTTTTTCATTACCATGTATAAAATCACTACCCCTACTATTCTGGGATTTAGTCTGACAATTTCAGCTCTCTGTTATAATGAGGTATGGGAACCTGAACCGAGGTACATACGTACCAGGCGACTGACTGATTTAGTATTGATATTTAGTTGTACTGTTATTATATACACCATATTCATGATCACACGTGACACATATACATATAGGCTAAAACAACACGTAGTGCATGAAAGATAATAAGCACTAAGCTTTTTTGAAAATAGAACTATTATGATTAGGGTTGGAATCTAGCCCGCGATTTTCGTCCTATTTAGTACTCGTCAAGCGGAATCCACTTACCAGTGCTGATGCTCCGTTATGATCTGTGTTGTAACGGGTGTGACTGCAGGGTTTTTGATAAGCAGCGTATTTATCGATCGACCTAGTGCCCTGATTGGCCCCGCTCCGCTGTCTGTCCTAGCCAGTTGAGTCAAGAACAAAAGTCACAGCCTCTGGGTTATGAATCATTATATTTCAAACATACTTTGTTTATATACTAGTCAAGCAGACCACAACGTACCACAAAGTATAAAATAACATTGTATAATATTGGCCAACAGGAAAATAACACGTTAAATAAATATCGACCAATGGGAAATGTACATTTAAGGTCCAAGGACACCATTGGACTTAACATGATAATTATTGGTCTATTTTTCCGACTACCTAACAATCTGTCAATCTGATTCAGTCATAATTCCTCGCTTCCTAAGATTTAACACACCCATTTATACAGGAGTAAGAAGACTAAAAATCCGTATAAAGCTTCAACCCTAAATTGAGCCAGTATGTACATATAACTTGCTAAACTGATCTAGACAAAAGTAAACAGAATGTGACTTTGGCTAGCTGAATAACTTGATTATTAACAATACCAAGCTCTTACACACCTACATGATGCCCTATGTGAATGTATCTCAAGTGATATTACAGCAACATTTTGTAAAACAGAACCCGACAATTTCACAGACTTTCTTTTTCCCGAGTCATTTATTGTCAAATGACCTTTTAATTATCTTGATAGCTTCTATTTAACCCTTCTTATGGTATATATGTTAAAATGAGATGCTTAACTTGACGTTTTAATTCATTTCTAATTCTCCTGTGATAGCTACTTCTATGTATTAAGCCATTCGTTATTGTTTTGGTGCATTTCTATGTATCATTCTTAATTAAGCAGAATATTTCTTGTCTTGTTGATAAGTATTACATAACCAGAATAAAATGTAGATCTAGAGTCTCACTTTAATCACTGACTCATTGGAAAAAAATACCAATAGGCTAAATCGAAGTGATAGCATTCTGTAAATCTTACTAATTTATTCTTTCGCTATGAAAAAAAAAAGACAAACAAACTTGTGAACAATTAGCTAGTTAGAATAAAGCTAGAATAATAATTGGCGTTAACTCCTAAACCGAATAAACCAAGGAAATTAGCTCTAAACTTAAAGCAAACTCATGGCATTATTTATTTATTTCCCAGTTCAGTGGATATTACTTTGGGGGTTCGAAAAGAAATGCAGTGGGTCCGAATCCTGGCATGAACACCAACAAAGATGTAGGCACATTCAACTGAAGAGTCTCAAATAGGATTCCCCTGGTAGCTCTTATTCAACTTTACTTGAAGCTCATAGCTTCCATAAAATTGTTACGGATTCAAATATTGTAAGCCAAATTAATTATTTACAATGTCTAATCGAAAACCTTGGAATTTGCGAAAACACCAACATTAACACTTTCAAAAGAACATGAATATGACATCCTACTTGAAAATCTTAAGAGGCATGTATATAATTTATTAAATAGAAAATTAAATAGGATTTTGTGTCAACTTTCGTTCTGGCTTTATTCAAATTCATAGATGGAACTAATTGTATGAAACTAACTAGTTACATATTCTCATTGTTAAGACAATAAACCAATCTTATCAGTAGATGGACTGTGGATACTGTAGAGAGATCGCCAACCGATCCAAGTTAGGTAACAATTGAAAACCTGAAGTACTAGACAGTTGTTTCGTTCGAAGATTCAGGGTTCGATCTCCGGTAGCAGGATTGTGAATGCGCAAGGTTGACGAGTTTCTAAAGCCACCAGGTTTTCAATATCTGTCTAACTTGGATCAATTTATAACTCCAATAATAATATTTAAAAAATTGATTGAACTCTTCTGATCCAAAAAGCCAAATAGAAAGACTTATTAACGTGAAAATTTACACTATACAGTCGGCAGATTCAAACTATTATGCTTGGAAATAGTATCGGAACAGAGAACTAACAAAACAAGATCATCAGGTTAAAAATAAAAGATAAATAACGGTTAACTAAATACTGACGACTTAAAAGCTGATGAAAATGATGAATTGATGCATGTGTACTAAAGAATGTGTGGTCGATTCTGAAATAGCACCGAAAGTCTATTATATTAGGGTAAATTTGGCGCTATGATATCAAGCGTAAGTTATCGATAGTTAACCCTAACATTTGTTAATCGTGCTAAAGATTACAATCGTCTGTAATACTATCATCGTTATGTGTTAGGACTCTTTTGCAAAAGCTGAATCCTGATTAGCTATTTTCTGATTGATCGATCTCGAGATTACTTTCAAATTCGCTTAAAGCCGTCGGTATAGTTCAGATTTAATCTAAAATAATAACTTACAAGCTTTTATTATATCTCTGACTAAACCATGACCACCTTTAGCATACATTTCTCCTAATCGACCTTGTAAACGATAAATTGGCCATTCAGATAATGAATGAAAACCAGAACGACTTCTTTTTAAAAACGATGGGTTGCGTTGATTTGTTTCATCATCTTCTGTAGCATCATCATCATAAGTAACAACTTTAGCCGCCATTTCATACCAATGTGCAGCTGCTAACCAGTCAGGTTCTTGTTTCCGCCCATTATTATTATTATTATTATTATTATTATTATTATTATTATTATTATTATTATTATTATTATTATTATTATTATTATTATTATTATTATTATTATTATTATTATTATTGATATCATTACTAGTATCTGGAGAATAATAATCGCCATGATAATAAGCTTCAGCTAAATAAAGCATAGCCATACGATCTCCCGCTGATGCAGCCGCACTGATTAAAGCGAAACCATGTGCTCGAGATTCCACTGGATCAGGCTACGTTAAAAAAGACAAGTAAGTATATTATACACATGACAGATGGGAAAATTGTAGTAAATAAAAGTAATCCCATAACTTTTTAAGAACTTTCATTAATTCAGTTGTGGCTTAAATGACTCAGTGTTAATATCGCTGACTGTGAAGCTGGATGGCATTGGATCCACCAGCGAGCATCAGTCCCCTCAAGATCACAGGTACACTCTGCTGACGGGTGTCAAATAGCACAAAGCATATGTGTCAGACAGGGTTTTATGTAAACTACCTCCAACCACCATCTTTCATCAAAACATAGGCTAGTAGCCACATTGCAACTTGATCAATAGGATGTGATCAGTACTAAGAAGAATTTGACACACATGATACTGATAAATAATCGGTGGTCAATTTAATTGTAAATTCATAATCTGTGTGACCCAAGAATTCCTTATGAAGAAGAAATAAAATATTAACAAAAACAAGAAACAATTTAACTATATGAGGGCGAAACTATAATTTATGGACGAACCAACGAAACTAAGGAAAACAATTCTTGGAATTTGCGTGAAATTCACTCATACATAAGTTAAATAGTATTTGGGCAGTATAGCTGATCTCAGTTCCGGAGGAAAACCCTTATTTTAATTCTCAACCCTAATTTAACATACTAATTTATAACTCTATGTTGACTCTAGTAAGTAAGTAGTTATTTCAAGGTCACCCTAGCGTTGCTCAAAGTTCGTGCATAAATATACCTTTAGTGCAAATAATTACGAATATGATTTTAAGTAAAACTTAGATGTGTTAGACAGACCGAAATCTGGATTCCAAGGAAATAGTTAAGCACTCTAAACGATAAACTGAAAAACATCCTATGAACGCAAATGTTTATTTAAAATTTGCCAATAACCATATAAGCAAATTATATGTATTCAAAAAGATGTAAAAATGTATTCGTCAAGAAGTTTATCATTAACATGATTTTTATGGAAAACTCTTTGAAAGTGTTGCCATGTTTACCTAGTATCATTCTACTACCACTTCAGTATTTCACAGTAAGTCGATACATGGATACGCGACGAATCCTCCAAAGATAGATTATTAAAAATACGGAGCATGTGTACAAACACATCTGAGACAATTAATTATTATTTAAATGGGTAATAATAATTCAAACAGAATAAGACTAATGATTCATTTTTATCCCCTTATAATCGTATACTTTCCACAAGCAATTGTTCCATATAAGTATACTTTTTGTATCCATCCTCGTTAATTCTATTAACCATACTGCACGTTTTTATATGTAATTTGTTTGTATGTATGTCTGTACTTACTTATCGTATCCACTGTTTATTTGAAACATATAAACTGAGACAGAAACACTTAGTGCGTTGGTTAGTGTGGAGAATTCGTGCTGTATGCACCTATCTCCTCCTATAGTTCGCCTACATAAATGAATGCATGGGATATATTTATCTCGTATCTCGACTTTTGATATTGCTTTCTAGGAACGCGGCAGGTCCTAGTACATGTACGAAATTAATCCGGGATGTATATCAGGCATAAAACAATTTATGGAGTCAGAAAGACTATTCTATAGAAGTGGTGAGGCCAAGCTAGAGTTTTACATCATTGGATTCCGGCTACAATTATCTTGAAGTTAAGCGTTCGTGCGCGAGACCGAAGGTCCTAGGTTCGATTTCCAGTCGTAGGGTCGTCAGTGAGCAACGATGAGCAGTCTCATGCTAAGACAGAACGGTCGTCCAGTCCTCGCAGGTTTTCAACGGCTGACTGACGTTGATCGGTTTGTGATTTCTATGAAATAATAACTATCTATTAGTTTCTTTGTATCCGAAAGTCTTAATGACTAATTATACCCTACCTAATCGAATTCGCTGAGTTCAAAACAGGATCATTAATCATCAGCTGTTAATCAAAGATGACCCTAATTGAGTCAACAAATCTAAACACTTCAACCATTATCTTATTTTCAATGATAAAACTGAAACAGTAAATAGACTAACTTTAATTGGACATTCCGATAATGGACCATCAATCATTAAATTCAAATAATATTGAGCTAAACATTGAATAGCATCTAAACAACCAAGTTTAGCTGATTGTTCTAAATGAAATAAAACTGATTCCCAGTTAACATTTTGTGGGCGATTTAATTCATTCAACTGATTTCCATTCAATTCTTGCTCAATATCTATGGAAGGTTGATGCTCTTTGATTTCATTGCACTTTAACTGACAATAACCGGTTTGATGCATTAAAGTTAAACGACCAGAAGCATGTAAACGAGCCAATTCATGATGTATCTGGTAAAGAAAAGGAAATTGTTTTTCATCATATTAAATTGAATTTCATTAAAGTACTATAGAGTATATTAGGTTGATGTTCAATTGTAGTTTTTTTTAATTTATCAGAGCATTGAAAATATCTTTTCGAAAGGAAGTTGAAGATCTTACAATGAACAAAGATAAAAATCAGAATTACAAATAAGTAAACTGTTATTCTATAGTTTTTTTAAAAAGTTGGTAGATGCAGACTACTTGGTTGGGGTCCGCGTGACTTTCGTAACCAATGGTTGGAGACTCTTGGTGACATGGCTCAGAATCGATCACAATGGCGTCGGTGTATACACTCTTTGTCTTCCCTTAAACTAAGAGATTAAAATCGCTTCATATCTTTCTTTCCACGAACTAATTCTTTCTTCCTATACTATATCCTTATTGCAACCTTTGACCTAACCACTCCTATGAATCCGGTGTTCATCTTGTTGTGCTAATGAGGTATGGCAACCTGGACCGATGCACATATGTGCCTGGTCCTACGTTGTAGCTGACTGACTGACTGACTATACAGACGATGAGGTTCTCCATTCTGACCTGACATATTTTCATAGAACAACAGTAGGATTTCATATGTTATGTGTTTAAATGAATAAATAAATAATTAAAAAAAACCAACAATAGGTCTGATGTGTCAACCTCATGTGAATTGTTTGGTCAAGGTGATTCTATATAAGACATTACTGTTTGTTTGAGTGTATGATGGAGGGTGTGGAAAATGTGTAATTCGGAAAAGTGGCGTTTAAATTTGAGTGAATGTATGCGTGTAGATCGTATGGAAAAAATGAATCGAGTTAAATATTCTATTGTTTTTCTCATTATAATATATAATTTATACATAAACTCAACATCTCATGACTTATAATTATTTTTGGTGGAAAACATTTGTAATGAAGAAAGTTTTTAGTAAATTGTGTTGTAAACTCCATTTGTTTCATTTGTATTTTGATGACAATGTTTAAATTTGCAGTTTCAAAAACAAGTCGGAACGTGTTCTGATAAAGTGCTAAGTATTTTATGATAATTTTTAGTCAAAGTTAAGTAGTACTAATGAGTTTTTTATTTGTAACGATTATTTACGATGACTGCGCAACTATAAAGTGTAGAAGTAGCAGACTATGGACAGAAGGAACTGGTGAAAATTTAACTTGAATTCCATGGAAAACCTGGAAGTACTGGATGGGTGTTTCGTCCTAGTATGGGACTGCTCATCAATGTGCGCGCGGGATATATACTGGTGAGGAGTTCCATACTAGAACGAAATGGGTATCCAGTGCTATTACGTTTCCAATGGTGGTCTGATTCAGATAAGTTGATTCTTTCAATGAAATTCAACAACCTCCACAACCCTCATACTGAAGATTTAACTTGAAATTCTGCACCGGACTTAGATATTTCTGTTGCTTATACACATCTGCTATATATCGCCTTCGGCTACATTCTAAAAATTATTATTGGAAGCCGGTAACTGGGATATAGATATACATTTTGTTTTATTCGGGATAATTTTTATGACTGTATTTCCATTCACTACAATAGAAGTAGGTAAACTAAGGCCAAAAAGTTGATTTATAAATCCGTAATAAACAAAGACCCGACCGTTGTTGCTACCTTGACGTGGTGGTCGGGCTTGCCTATCGTGATGAAGCAACCGAGCTATACTGACTGGAACAACCGTTCCTCAAGGTCCTACCATGTCAGACAGGTCGGTTGAAGAGCGGTAAGACTAAAAGCAACAAACCCAAGGTCCGCAGGCGAAGTCGTACTGCTGACTGTACAGAGGTGTGACAGCAGTAAGGTGTTTCCTTCAGACAACCAGCATCACAGCGATGCTGCCTTCCCACAAGGAGGGGTGGGGTTAGAAAAGGTCGACCCTAAAAATGCACACCTCACCTTACCTCACGGATTTCCGTCTCCGGTGGTAAGGCCCTTTGAAGAACGGAGCTAACACGTCGAAAACCTTCCACGAAAAGGCCGTGCGCGACCGGCCTCAAGCAGTTGTCTCTTGGGCACTGCGGTCACGCTCTCAGGTCACTGAGACCACCTCTAATCCAATTTCCTTTTCAGGTACCTCCAGAAGAACCCTTCCACGGTGTGGGCAACCGGGAAGTGATAACCGCCCTCATACCTCTAACAGCACCCAAGACCACTGTATTCATAATCAACCTTCCTCTTCAATTCCTATTATTCCTCCTACATCGACTTTCAACCCTAAACTTCCTTCTTCGGCTTCCTCCTCAAGTGTCACCATAGCCAACGATTCTAGTGCTCAAAACTCTGTCCCAGGTCTACTGAAACCTCGCTCCAAACTACACATTGGAGCTTTCAACGTACGCACTCTATGTCAAATCGGTCAGCAGGCTTCCTTGGCTAAAACCCTAGAGTCTCTTTCCATTGATGTATGCTGTGTCTCTGAAACACGCATACAGGATCCCAGTGTGGTCATTCACTTGACCTCACCTCGGCAGAACGGAGAGCCAACGAGATACACCCTCCGTGTATCTGGTGACCCGATGGCCAGTTCTCGTGGACTGGCAGGTGTAGGCATAGCACTAAGCATGAGGGCCGAACAAGCACTGCTAGAGTGGATCCCCGTCAACAGTCGTCTATGTGCTGTTCGGCTGAACGGCTACGTAAGAACTCGGAAGGATAGGGACACACGTCGTTGCCTTTTTGTCGTTTCTGTCTACGCTCCCACTGACTGCAGCTCAGATGAAGTGAAAGATGAATTTTACAGAAAGCTTTCTGAACTTCTTCAGAAAGCTAAACGCTCAGACATAGTACTCGTAGCAGGTGATTTTAATGCTCAGATAGGTAGCTTAAACCAAACAGAAAGGCATTTAGGTGGATATTTTAGTATTCCGACACAGCGAACAGATAACGGTGATCGTCTGCTGCAGCTATGCTCAGACAATCGTTTATTTTTAGCAAATACAAATTTTAAGCATAAGGAGAGACATCGTCTAACATGTCGACCCCCCAACACCAAACTAACGATGGACTCAAATAGACCATATTGCCATCAGTCATCGTTGGAGAGGGTCGGTACAAGATTGTCGCTCATTCTGGAGTACCTACTTGGACTACGACCACGCCCTAATACGGGCACGCATCTGCTTGCGCCTCACTGGACGCAAAACAGCCACAGTAAAAAGACCCATTAGAACCGAACTGAGTAGCGAGGAAACCAAAAGTAGGTTCCAGGAACAACTGAGGTCATGATTAGGTAGTTCTGAAGACGAGGCTGACCCAGATGTTGCTTGGAAAGATATACAAGCAGCTGTGGAAGCAGCAGTGACATCTATTAGCGACTTAAACCACAGAGTTGCAATGAACCAGTGGATTTCTTCAAGGTCTGTCACACTGATGGATTCTCGCAAACTCGTCCCATCAGGTTCTGAACATGATGAAGAGCGAAAACAAATCAGATCTAGGTTAAGAAAAAGTCTAAGAAACGACCGTAAGTGGTGGGTAATGAAAGCAAAAGAGATGGAAAAGGCGGCGACTATAGGGAACACAAGACAGCTTTACAGACTAATAAAAGAAACTGGAATTAATAAGTCAAGTGCAAGTGAGATTATTTCGGAAAAAGATGATACTCTCATCTGCTCCCAGTCCAGACGTTTAGAACGATGGGCGGAACATTTTAGAGAACAGTTCAGCTGGCCTTCAGCTACTCTACAACTACCCTCCATTCCCAGACAGCCTGAATGGAACATTGAAGTAGGTTCCCCAACTCTTGCTGAAGTTCAAAAGGCTATAGTTAATCTGAAACGAGGAAGAGCAGCTGGTCCAGATGGATTGGCTCCAGAGGTCTTTAAGGATGGTGGTCCAATTTTAGCGATTAGGTTGACTAATATTTTAGCTAAGATCTGGGAATTAGACTTTATCCCATCTGACTGGTCACAATCACTCATCGTCCCAATATATAAGAAAGGGTCAAAATCATCCTGTGACAACCACAGAGGGATTAGTTTAACTAATATAATATCTAAAATACTAGCCTCTATAATTATCAGACGCCTAACTAAGACTCGTGAACTGCAAACACGAGAGACTCAAGCTGGCTTCAGACCTGGTCGTGGCTGTATCGACCACATATTCACCATTCGTCAGATTCTAGAACACAGGCATACTTATCGGCGTCCGACAATGGTGATCTTTCTCGACTTAAAAGCAGCATTTGACTCGGTAGACCGCGAGATTCTGTGGCAGTGTCTGTCATTGAAAGGCGTACCCCAGAAGTACATAAACCTTGTGAAGGCTCTTTACTCGAATACTACTAGTCGAGTGAGAGCTTATGGCGAACTGTCATCTACTTTTGCAACTTCAAGTGGTGTCCGTCAAGGCTGTCCACTTTCCCCATTTTTGTTTAACTTCATCATAGATCTATTGATGGAAATAACACTCTCGTCGACTGAATTCTCGGGTATTGATCTCCTACCAGGAGGTCCACTTATCGACTTAGAATACGCAGATGATATAGTCCTGTTTGGTGAAGACGCTGACAAAATCCAGAGTCTTCTGGTAGCACTAAGCAACAATGCCAGAATGTTTGGGATGCGCTTCTCTCCCTCTAAATGCAAGTTGTTGCTTCAGGACTGGTCTGCGTCAACACCTGAACTAAGGATAGGGAGTGAAGTAGTCGAACGCGTCGACAACTTCACTTATCTTGGAAGTCTGATCAGCCCTAATGGGTTGGTGTCTGACGAAATCTCAGCACGGATTCGAAAAGCTCGTTTGGCTTTTGCCAACTTACGTCACCTTTGGCGGAGGCGAGATATCCGTCTATCAATAAAAGGACGAGTATACTGCGCGGCAGTCCGTTCTGTTTTAATTTACGGCAGCGAAACATGGCCTTTAAGAGTAGAAGACACCCGTAAGCTACAAGTATTTGACCACAGATGCCTTAGAAATATTGCTGGCATCTGCTGGGATCACCGGGTAAGTAATAGTGAGGTTAGACG